ATAAGCAGAGCCCGCTGTCACTCACGCAGCTGGGCGGATCCAGACATAATTGTCGGGATCTGTTTCAGCTGTGGCGTCTCAGTATACCGCGAGCTGTATACTGAGCTTAGGGTGACGGGAGGACGCTAGTTTGTGTCCTCCCATTACCCTTAGAAAAACTATGGGGAAAAGCCCTAACCCCATAGTTCTCCTTTAATATAAAAAGTAATTACATGTTGTATATTTTAATGCAGCTAGTATAATTATCACATATTGTTTTTTATATATGCTTCCTGTAATCTTTTCTGCAAGACTGCATAATAGAGGGAGGAGGACCAGCAATGTGGGTCAATCATGATCCAATGCATTGCATAGTGTTCAGTCTTAGGTTTGCCATACACCTATCAATTCTTTTAGTTCAACTCATGGGCTGAACAAAATAAATTGACAGCGATTCCTTCATCATCACAAACAGCGTTTCGATCGAGGAATCGCCGCTGTATGCATTGTATTCTGACAGGTGCCGCCGCACCCGAATACCCAATCAGAGCGGGCAGCTCATTGACTGCCGACTCTGATCGCAGAAAGATTTCCAGCCGGCTCCTTCGATCAGCTGATTGAGGAATGGCTGCTGAAAGGGAGCCGACAGCCCCACGCACTGCGAATTACGCCAGTGTATGGGCACCTTAATACTGGGTGCTTTCAGACAGACAGATAACAGAGTGATCACCTCATCACTACAGCCATCCATTGGCTACCTTCATTATCCTATTAGCAGGCTAGAGGCCACTCCGTGATCACACTGTATTATTTTTTTTAACTGCAGTCTAGATAAATATGGTCACCAACTTGGTTCTGCACTGTAGAAGACATAACCCGCGTCACAAGACTACTGTTCTACCTTTCTTTTGCCGCTTTCTTGGAGCCCATCTTTAAAACAAATTTCACATGAGGAAAAACATGGAGGCTGCCATTGCAAACTTCCCCTTTACCCGGCCATAAATCTGAGTCAATACTTTGATTCACTAACCCAAAACATGTACTGAGATCAGGATTTCCGACTTTTCTCCAACTTTTCCAAGCTGCCCATTTGTTCTGTGTCAGTGACTAATTATGAAAGCTAATGGGCCAGCATAACAGCCAGGCGGGTGGCATTTTCAGGTCAGCAATGGCATCTCTCGTGTTTTCCTCATGATAGCTTTACTTTAACAATAAAGTGAATTATGAAAACACAATGAGGGGAATTTATCAAATCTGGAGCACACAAGATCTGGAGCAGTTGCTCATGGCAACCAATCAGCTTCTCTCTTCAGTTTGTTCAGTTAGGCTTTGAAAATGAAACAGAGATACTGATTGGTTGCCATGGTCAACTGCTCCAAAATCCAGATTCTCTTTGCTCCAGTTTTGATAAATTCCCCCTAATATACATACTAACCAGATCTTTTTACATTGCCAAATACTGCATGTGTTGTTTTTGAACAGACAAACATGAACAAGCTTTTATAATCTGCTAACATATTCCTCCTTCTATTGCAGGGTGCAGGGACAGATATCTGGTATGTGCCAGCTGGGCACAGAAAGGGTATTGCGACTCCAGAAGGAAACCTATGAAGAAGTATTGCCCATATAGCTGTGATTTCTGCTATGGTAAGCATTTTCATTATGTGGATAAACTGATATATTAAAGGGAGAAGGTGGTTTCTGTGGGCAGCATAAACAATTCATACATTAGAAACTTAATTTAGGATAGCCTGCTGATCTACTGGCTTCAATGCTTTTTACATCACTGACTTCACCTGTAGTATTAGTAACAGGGTACATGTAGAGTCATAAGTGCAGTGACAATATTTAAGGTTTGGAGAAAAAAAAAATACTCGCCTCATAGCTAAACTTTCAGCGGCCACAGCTTACATGAGGGTGACCATTCTGCTCTGAATTCAAGCAAAGCAGCAGTGTTGTTAACCCACCACAGGAAACTGCATGGGGTACATCTAACTGGCAGGATCAATAGGTATTCCCTGTAAGTGAAGATGCACTTAAAACTAAATGCTGCAGCACATACTGTATTTTTTAATGGGAGGCTATAGTTCTGATATAGTTCTATAGAGGCTATAGTTCTATAGAGGCTATAGTTCTGATATAGTTCTATAGAGGCTATAGTTCTGATATAGTTTGAACTTCTCTGGTGAAGAGAGAATGTTGCTGAAAGATTTTCCACATTATACACTTCCAGAATTGATAGATGTTGGTGTGCGGCAAGATCCAGCAACCAGTACTAAAGAGCGTGGAGGTGGTCCAGAAATGCAACACTCCCTGAAAGTGTGTCATGCTGAAGATCTTTCAACAACATTATCTTTTTAGTGCAGGGGAGGTTGGTGGCATGGGCAACCCATTGTATTAAGTGCATGCCTTGCAGGAAATGGCTGTGGTCAACTTATAAGAAATAGCGAGAGTCATTTTAGATGGACCTTGCTTTTTTTTTTAATCCAAGGTCTTCGTTAATTCTCCTCCAGGTTTAGGATATATGTATATATGTATGTTTGTTTAGTATTAGATAGAGTAGGTAAGGATTAAAACCCCCTATGAAGTTATTTTTTGCTCTCATAAATAAAGCATGCAAAATCTCCATTTTTGGATAAGAAGAGGAGAAATTTAAGTTCCAAAATGGTGCACGGCAGAAAAGTTTTGAGAACCACTGCAGGTAATCTTAGCGGTTTGGGACCAAGGAAAATCACTAGGCTGTATCTAATAATATTTTAATGTTTAATGCAGATTTTCCATTCCCTACACGCTTGCCAACACCGATACCACCCAGAACCAAAGTCCGCCTGGTTCCAGAAGGCAGGAACATGACCTTTCGATGTGGGAAAAAAATTATCCACAAAAAAGGGAAAGTTTAGTAAGTATATTTAAACCTCAATCAGAAATGCTAATAAAAGTTTATTATATAGTTACACGTAGTAAGCTGCTGTATCCACCTTTACCTCGTTTATGTTTTATACCTCCCATAGTTGCTTAGTTGAGTACAGGTGGAGAGCTCTCTGAAGCTATTGATAGGAATGGGTGTGTAATATCAAAGAAGCAAATTGCTAAGCAGTATTAGGCCAGCTCAATTCCCCATTTAGATTCCAGGCAGCTGGTGTGCACAAGGCGAAACCATCAGTTTTAGAAAGGCTCTGCTGTGCCTTGCATTAGTTTCGCTGAAGGCTTTTTGGTTCTTTTTAGCCCACCTCACCCAAACTTGTCTAGTTAAACCATTTTGTTGCTCACCAAGCACTACAGCATAGATGTCATGGTTCCCATACCCTGCAATGATGATGACCAACAAACCTAAAACTGGTTTTGCGGTTTGGACTGAATTGCTCTATAATGTAAGACTGTATTTGTACCATAAACCTGCTTTTCTGGTTTCTCATAAACAAATGATTTGCAAAGACTCTGGCCACTATCCTTAAATGAGATATAAATCCTTATTTTTGCAATTTGTGATGGAAGTTATGCAGACACCAGCTGTTTTAAGAAGCCTCTTCTGTGCTTCACACTGGTTTAGTGAGGGGCTATTAAAGGGATACTGTCAAGTTCTTTGGAGAGTAAATTGACATGACTACCTCTAAATGTGCCCATACACTGCACGATTCTCGTACGAGAATCGCGTATTGTGAATGAAGACGTGCGACCGTTTCTACAGTACGGTCGCATGTCTTTTGTCTGAGAAACATGCTAGAAAACCAGCCGAAAATCTTACGATTTTCGGCTGGTTTGAATGATGCTCGGAAGACAAATGCCGAACGGGCCAGTGTGCGCACGCGCACACTGCCCGTTCAGCATTGCGGTCATCGGAAGCCCACCCCTCAGGGGGGCGGGCTTGCAATGATAGCAAGTACGATCTGCCTGTCCAAGATGGGCAGATCGTACGTTTTTTAAATTACTTTACACCCATCGCAAGACTAAGGTCTTGCAATGGTTGTAAAGTGTATGGGCACCTTTAGTCACCTATAACGTGCTGCATAATACCTTGGCTTTATTTAGTTACAGGAAATAATCATTTGCAATCTTGTAGCCATCTAGGGCTGATTTGCAGGGGTGTATCTGCCGCGAGGCAAACAAGGCATTTGCCTCGGGCGGCAGATTCCAGGTGGGCGGCCCCCCAAAACATTTAGGCAGCCAGGCTGCAAAGAAACCGGCAGCCTGGCTGCCTAATGTCAACAGGGACGGCAGCTAGTTGCGGGAGTGGGAGCAGGAGGAGACGGGGACGGAGCGGCAGGGGGTGGCACCAGAGGAGATGGGGGCAGGTTGCAAGAGGCAGTGTGAAGACGGAGGAGACGTAGCGGCAGGAGGGCGGAGAAGCCCACCCTCTGCATGATCTGGGGGGGTTTTGCAAGATCTGTAGGGGGCTCTGCAGCCTGCAAAGCCTACCCAAATCCTGCACAGCCCCCCTGGAGATCTGGCAGACTGCTGGGTCTCAGGAGGGCTTTGCAGGATCTGGGGTGGGCTCTGCGGGGTCTATGGTGGGCAGAGCCCATTATGGATCCTGCACAGCCCCCTAAGACCCTGCAGACTGCAGGGCCTCAGGGGGGCTGTGCAGGATCTGTGGGGGGCTCTGCAAGATCTATGGTGGGCCCTGCCCACCATAGACCTTGCAGAGCTAACCACAGATCCTGCACAGCCCCCGAGACCCTGCAGCCGAAGTTACGATTGTCATGGGATTTGTAGCCTCACAACAGCTGAAGAGCCCAAGTTTGGCTGCCATAGTTAATGCTCACCCTGGTAATGTTTCTTCTATCCCTGCAGTTGGTACAAAGATAACGAGCTCCTAGAATACTCTTATCCTGGATACCTGTCCTTAAACGATGACCACATGAGTATAATTGCCAATGCAATCAACGAAGGCCTCTACACCTGCATTGTGAGGAAAAGGGACCGAGTGCTGACAACATATTCCTGGAATATAAGAGTACAATTGTGATAAATGTTGTAGGTAAATGGAGATTTGGACTACATGGGACCATCAGTTCCACCGACTGAAAGGAGGCACCACCATTTCTTTGCAACTAGCCACATGCCATGTCTAATTACAGCTGGTACGCCTAGATTCTCTGAGCTGGGCTGGGTATGGTGGTAATAGAATGGGAAAATGTCTACTGAGGAATCATTGTATTATTGAGCTTTGCACATTTTACCCCTTCCAAACATTTTTAATTGCTAGGGAGGTACAAAACCCCTTGCTGGGGTGGATTTAGTAGTATTTTTCTACAGCATTATAACATTGAGCTCCAAAATGCTTGCTCAATATGGCAGTGCAAAGTGGAGGGAGAATACAGTCACTCACAGCAACTGGATTGCAGTGTATAGAAGTCAGAAGATGCATTCTGACTGGTTGCTGTGGGTTCCTTCTAATTGTCTTACTGAATAATTTCACCAATTGGCTTGTCATTGGACCTAAACTTCAAGTTTTAGTTATACCACAAGCATACCAAAATATATCTCATCAGTCTTGGAATTTAGTAGAAAAAAAGGGCTCAGCTTCTTAAAGAATAATTTGGCGTTTCTTCTCATGTTTGACAAGTGAAGAAAGGGGTGTGATGACATTTGTGAAAAGTATTCTTCACCTAGAGAAAAATGGGACCCCCTTTTATTGCAAGAGACACACCCTTGCTACACCCCCAGTCACATTGACCATAAAGAATTTATGTGCAGCAAAAACTGATCAGTTAACCTACTGATCATTCTCATACTGCAACGTTTTAAACCTTTATACTATTGTTTAAATAAACCAAAAGCTATATTTTAGAGGGTGAATACAATGTGTGTTGCAATAGCACATTTATCCTAAAAACAAGTACACTAAAGGAGGAATAACGGAAATCGAGATTGTGTCTCAAATTATAGACAGGAGCCAATTAAGAGTTACATAGTATTTGTGGTTGAATAAAGACACAGGTCCACCAAGGTCAACATATTGCGTGTATGTATGGGATTCTGCATGTGTATGCGTGTGTGATCTTGTTTTTTTTAGTGTACCTGTACCCCTGTATGTTACGGTCTCTGAGGAAACTGTCCAAATGCTTTTTGAATGATTCAACACTCTCAGCTGATACCACTGCTTGTGGCAGCGAGTTCCAGACCCTAACTGCTCTAACTGAGAAGAAGCCCCTACGCCCCTTGTGCTTAAATCTTTTCTCCTCCAATTTTAGGTGGTGGCCTCTAGTCTTTGTTATGGAGTTTATAGTAAAAAGTTTATTGCTGATGTTGCTATCACCATTGAACATCTTGTACTGATCTGTAGGGTGTGCACTGGAACAGACCTCAGTTACTTTGCACTAAACAAAAGAGACAAGCACAGAATTTGTGCTATAGTCGCACAAATACAATCCAAGCTGGTGCATTATTAATCACATTCTGACTGCCAGTCTGCACATGCTCTAATTTCTGTGTTAACTCCTGAAGCATTGATATAGGTCACTGCAGGGCTAGCTTAAAGTGATATTAAAGTCAAAAGGTTTTTCAGCTATTTCAAATGATCTCATCCAATGGATGCTGCTCCTTGATATTTAAGTTTTAGTTTGCAGAATTAGCTGGTTCCCTGAGCAATGGCCCCTGATATCATCTTTTAGAGTGGCTCTTTTTCCCTTGCAATGTCCTAAATAATGGAGACACCCTTGTGTGTGCTAGTAATCTGTGTGTCTCTCCACAAACACATGGGCACAGCAAGGCAAGCTAATCCCGTTCCCTGTCCCCTCTCCTCCCAGCTCATAGATAGCTGCTGTAAGACTGCCCTCCCTTGTGATCTTGTACAGGAGAGGAAGTTTAGGGCAGAGGAGCTGAGAGAGTTGGAGGTAGCTGTTTGGAAACATGGTGACTACGTGCTTAGCCAAAATGTAAAAAATATGTTGCTGGGCAATGTATAATTGTTTAATCTGGATTATTGAAAAAAGTTTTAGCACTCAATATATTTTTACGTTTCCTGTCCCAATTCCCATTTGATGTTTTACTTAGATTTTTGCATTGGCCACAACAAGAAAAAGCCTCTATCGTTTGTTGCCAGGCGGGAACTGTCCACACACTACGTGACCGAAAAAGTGTTTGAAGAGCAGTTCTTGCAAGTAGCAAACAATCTGGCTCTGACTTTCACATTGCCAGCCAATGGGAGAATGAAATTGAGAATCTGGTTGCAACAAGATCATTTCTTCCAATCAACCTATGTATACAGTTCATTGTGTCTGCACAAATGCTCTATTGTCAGCTGAAGACTGGCAATACAGCTCCCTCAGTTCCCTGTTGGCCTCAATGAGAAATAGCAGCCTATAAAGAAAACTTCCATGAGCAGGACAAGCAATGAATACTTTTTACAATATCATTATCCCACTATCCAGCCACATCATTTATGTTGTGTCAAAGATGTGAAATTAGTCTTTAAAGCTCAACTCCAGGCAGATAAAAAAAATCCAGTTATGGATTAATCAAAATAATTAAGGGCTCATTCACACACGTGTTGCCGTAATTCATGGTAAAAGGCATTACAAAAAGAGCATTAATGCACAGAACGTATTGCAATGCCATCCATGGTGAGTGGCACCCCAATGCATCTTGCCAGCACATCAGAAAGCAGATGAGCCATCTGTGGTGCAGTATGGGCTGCCTCAACTCACAAAGATTAACACCACACACAATGTGAAATGGGCCCTTGTTCTATATCTAAGTAAAAGTGGTACAATTACCTAAATATAACTTTTACATTTGTTTCCCTACTCTGCACAGCAGTACCCTGAGCCAATCAGGGCTCTATTGCTTTTCACAGTGCTGTCCATGCTGCTGCTCCTTCATTGCCCAATCAGCAGACTGGAAACAGGTACTTGACCAAGCTGTATCACTTATCTGCAGTAGAAAAAAGAGAAGTCACTGCTTGGCTGTGCTGTCTGGATTACAAGACTGATGGAATGTAAATACAAATGCTGTAGCGGTGCTGTAGCTGACAAATATGTATTTTATCCAGATCTTTGCTTGGATTATTACTTTAAGCATGAACTACAAAAATATTCCTATGTAGTTGGTTCAACCCATACTTGTAGGCTGCAAAAAAAATCTAAGCAGCAGAAAAAAGGTGTATGTTAAGTTGTCAAGGTGTATATTTTACAAATCTGTAACAACCCTTATGGGAACAATTCTGTGCAGGCACATACGTGACTATTGAAAACTGGAGATAAACAGTGTATTTTAATATGGCTTTTGTATTCTGCTGTTGAATAAAGTAAATGCAATTTCTGCTCAAATATGTAGCTTGCTTCCAGCCATGTTGTCTCTGACCTCACATACAAGGTCTTATCCTAGTGCACCCATGTTATGGCTACGCGGGCGAATACATCCATTGCTACTGAGAGATTTAAAGTCAATATAAACCCTACCGGAATGGCATTTAGTTTCCTAAAGCACCGTGCATCGTAAACAACTGCCATTTCTTTTTTTATATAATACAGTTTTTACCTATTCTTCTCATCCCTTGTTGCATCTCAGTGCTGGTGATTTTCTGTACTTTATTGCAGCCACTTCCTATCTATATGTATGCACTGCAGCAATGGAGTTTCTTGATGGTGGCAACAGTGGAAAATACCTGTGTAATGTGCATTGAAATGGTCATTTGTGCTCTCTATCAGCAGCCCATGGGTCAGGGTGACAATGCAAGGAAAACATTAGGAGACAGGGACAAAGTGTTTGTCACCCTATTACAGGAGGTGCCTGAACAAGGACTTTCATTACAGGATCACTATGGATTCTATTAATGAGAACTGCAGATATAAAAGACTGAAAATTACTTTTGAATTGATAATAAAACTAAACTCAGGAGTTAAATCTTAAAAATGCAATCAAGTACTGTAACTAAAAGTAATTTTCAGTTTCGGCCTGACAAATTCTGCACAGGAGGTGCGTTGCAGTGCCATTCATTTTAAAGTGACACTAAACGCAAGAATAAAATGATAAAATACATTGAAGTACCTTAGCTATTAATATAAACGTATCTTATTTGTGTATCACTCAGCTGTAGATCCTCAAATCATCTCTGAATTGGTGCCGACACTGTCCTTCCTTCTGGAGGGGGGCTACTTTTGTTCCCCATGGTCCCTGTATGTGTTGTAAAGTAGCCACCGCTCCAAGCTCACTCCCATGATAGGCTAAAATCTCAATACAAATCAGATAACTAAACATGAGATTGTAGTCCATCAGGGGAGTGAGTTTGGAGCGGTGGCTACTTTACAGCACACACAGGGACCATAGGGAACAAAAGTAGCCGCCCTCCAGAAGGAAGGGCAGTGTCAGCACCAATTCAGAGATTGGAGTATCAACAGATGTTAAAAAATCTGAGGGTTTAATGTCACTTTAAAGCTTATATGAGATCTTAGGTGGAATGGGGGGTGTTGCAATTGCAAGTGTTCCCCTAGCCTAATGCTTATTCTGTAATGTATTGTGGGTTTTACATAGGTCGCCTCAGTTGCTAGCCGACATAGCTAAAAACACAATAATGAATAATTCTAGAAATGTCAACTGTTTTCAGCGACAATTTAGATGAAAGCGAGCAGAAATCTAAAGCTGGCAGATATGTAAAGGATTCAGAGCTTGGCTACACACTTGATATTCATTGGTGCTATCACATACTGAGAAACAAGTGCAACCAATCTCCCAGTGCGCAGTTAAACGTGGACAGTGTATTGTATCTGATTACACTCTGTACTTCAGTCATGCAAGAGTTTACCTAAATACTGTTCATGCCGAGAAGCTCTTCAAATCTTTAGAGACTTGTAACTTTCAGCTCCTTTCATCTGTATGGTGCTACATTTCCTTACGTAACAAAATGAAGAGTATGTTTAGCTTTGCTGTATGAAACATTGTATCTGGTAGACTTATGGAAATTGGACATACAAAAATAAAAGAATATATTTAACAATATTTTTTTCCCCAGTCTGAATCACCTCTGAAGAACACCTTTGGTTTAGCAGATGCCATCATCATAAGGAAATAAAACAGAAACTACTGTACAAATACTGCACATGTATATACACTGGATAAGTCCAAAGGGCCCTGTCACACCATCAAGAGTGCGTTCCAGTGCCTTCGGCCTCTGGAGCTCACTGGAACGCAACCTGGCCGGCTCACTTTGTTTTGGGGCGGGAGGGGGTGTGGCGGTGCATTGAACTCAACACCGCAGCTATGCCCCCCCACCCACAGTGTGATCGCGTTCGGGTGCCGCCAATCGCACTGCG